TGGTACGGACGGTGATGCTCGGACGATGAATCCTCGGATGATGAGGAACCCATAAGTGATAAGAAGAAGAATATTCCCACATGCACGCCGCCTTCAGTGAGCGGCTTAAGAATAAGAAAAAGAATTTGTACAGTCCGTAAGAGTGCATGTGGATGAGGACTGTACCCAAAAGAACATACCTATATGCAACCGCCTTTAGTGAGTGACCTAAGAATAAGAGGAAGAATTTGTACAGTCCATAAGAAGCGCATGTAGATGAGGGCCGTACTCACTCACACGCCTAAGGTTCCGAATCCATGCCTCAAACGAGTCCAATCGGCAAAGAATAAGAAAGAGAAGAAAAAATAGAAAGAAAAGAATAAGAAAGAAAGAAAAGAATAGAAAGATAAGAGAGAATAGAAAGAACAGACAGATAGAAGAGAAATAGAAAGAAATAAAGAAATAAACATAGAAAAAAGTGAGAGAGAAAACAGAAAAGAAAATGCATATCTTATGCATTTGTGCATTTGCATCATACTTAAGCATGATACCATGCCAACTATCATGAGTAGTGAAAAGTGAGAGATTAGAAACAGAGAAAGAACATAGAAAGAACAAAGAAAGAACATAGAAAGAACATAGAAAGAACAGAGAAAAAGCAGAGAGAATAGAGAAGTGTGATGTAAGGAAAGAAATTCAGAATATGAGCAGCGGAGATGGAAGAATAGCATAGCGGATTTACTTACTAAGCAACTAATGCTCACCTCGTTGTTTTCAATGTTTTTGCAGGAAATAGGTAAGTAGCAGTTGGATGGAACGTCGAGAAGCGGAAGGGAATGACACTATTATCCACTGTATTTTGAGATTATGTATATGATACTTTTGTTAATGTAACGAAAGTTTTGGGCCCACTATGTTGTACTTAAATACATTTATATTTTCCATGATATATTTAGTGATTTCATATTATATTTTCCAAAGTATACTAGCTAGAAAGAGTTATTACAGTCTCCATCCTTGAAATTTGAGGGCTGGGGATGGGGCAGGTAAACTTGCATGAAAAAGGCAAAATTCGTCCCGTGCCCAAACTTGTTCCTTCCCAAAATTTCAATATATTTTTCCATTAAAAAAAAAAAGAATTAACAATTAATAATAATTATAATACTCTTTGGTGATGTATTGGATTATTTTTTGGAAGTCTTTGGACTAACTATTGGTTATTCTAACGAATAGATAGAAAAAACAACAATTTTAAACTTTGTTATTTGAAACCAACATTATTTAAATTAAAAAACCACATCCAACATATATATATTAAATAATTAATCAATATATTTTTAATTGTTTTCGTCCAATTTTGATATATAAATAAAGAGAAACTTATACAAGTCATATGTATATAACATATATTAAATAAACTAATTGAAATTTATTAATCTATTAATAAATTAATGATAAATAACAGTATTTCTTAATAAGGGATTGAGATTTCAAATCTTTCTAATGCCATATCAATAATAAATGATATATATCTTACTAAAATATCAGTATATTATATATAACGTCAGGTTACAGTAACTTAAATTATTTAGTAAATTTAAAATACTGATTTATAGTCATTGATAAATCACAATTCAAAGATTTAAAAAGTGATAAAATTGCACATGAAATAATATTTTTTTGTAACTTCTCATTAATTAATTTTTAAATTATATAAGATCAAAGACATTAATTAACAAGTCGATGCCATTAGTTACTTGTAGACGTAAAAATCTACCTGTACGGAAAGAGAGGGTCTGATCCCGTGAGGTTGAGGCCACTAGCGATCTGATGTACCTGCACACGTAGAGAAACACACGCGTGAAGCGAACGGGAAACACCAGTGTGGTGTTTGCCGTACGCACTCCGACGCTCAAGTCAGCTAGGTTGAAGGGAAAATATAGTGAGGGCTAGGGAATAAGAGGTTACCGGAAGTCTAGTCGGGGACTGTGACTACGGCGATGATATGAGGCTCTCAAGTCAGAGCGTTAGGTGTGAAGGTTGAATGTCCCTTGTGAGAGGGCTTGCCTCTGCTTATATAGCCACTGTCTGGTCTCCCAATCCTGGTAGAAGTAGGAGTCCTAGTATGACTCTAATGCAAACCCTAGAAGAATTAGGGCCTTGGTGAGCTGTCTTACCAGTATCCGAATAGGAAGGTGATCCTGAATAGGAGGTTAATTAGGAGTAGGAAAGTACTCTGAAGGGGCTGTGGGCTCTGGATTCGCCCATGGACCTGGGAAATGGACTAGGATTAAGAGGCTCGTGCCCACGTGGTTTGGGTCGGCTATACCTCGTGTCAAACTTGACTAATTTGGCTTGGGCCTCTGTAGGACTGGGCCTGGTTTTTCTTCACTAGTGGTCCTATTTCCCTATTTGGGCAAAAGACGATTTTTGGCCCTAACATTACTAATATCAATAGTGGAGTTATATATATAGTTATATATAAATATAAAATTCTCTTATCAAAATGTTCTAATATAAATTTATTGGTGTCATGCATATACACCATTGGATATGGGTTGTAAAAAATTTAATCCAGTATGATTATTCAAACGGTAGATATATATCGTTTCGACCAAATTTATATCACAACCACTAATTAGAGAGTAACTATACCTATTCTATCTTTTTTACTTTCATTAATGTTTGGATTACGTGTAGATAAGGTGTTTTTCTTAATCTTCTCTTATATTTGAAAATCAAAAGATATCTCATCAATTTGAAAATCAATAAGTTTTCCATATGTCGTAATTAAATCTCAAAAACAGAATAAGAATAAAACTTACTTATTTCAATCTATTCAAAAGATAATTTCATTATTTAAAAATCTTTAATAAGAATAATAATGGGAGAGCTTATCACATTTAGTTTTTAATTTTATTTTTGAGACAGATGTAAAAGATAATGCAAAATCAATTGAGAAAATTAGTGACTTTCAATTGTCAGATCTCCACATTCCAAATAATGTTTGGTGGGTTTTATTATCTTATTATAGGTATGTGTATAATTATTTGGTAATCTTTATGTGCATTAATAAAGTATATTATCTTAATCTTATGCTTAATTAGTAGACATTAGACAGCTACAGTCACTAACAAATATTAGAATGTTATTAATTAGTATCAAATTAAATTTTCTCAATAAAAGCAAAGATCAATTAATTTTCAGTTGTAACACAAATTATTTAATCTAATTTATTGGTAATTCAAGGATTTGATTGAGTTTGTTTTACAAAAAAATAATATTTTGAAAATCTATTTTTTGAAGAGAAAAAAAGTAAGAATAATGCTAAATTTACAACTAAATCTCACAACTCATGTGACAGTTTATTATTGTTTATTTTGTAAAATGATTCTATTTGCTTGTATAGATCTTGTCTACCCATTTGTGAGCTGACCAATGACTAGTTGTCATATCGGAGATTGTAAAAGAAGGTTGTGAGAGTGAGTTATGAAGTGAAAATAATATTTTAGGGTGCGTTTGGTTTATTATTTTGGATAGGATTTTGGGAATAATATTGGATAGTTGGATAGAGGAGTATTACAAGGTAAAATTTAAAAATTTATGAAAAAGTCCCTAGGTTTGCTAATTTAATTAAACACCCTAATGTATAAAATGACAAAAACACCCCCACCACCTGCAGTGCCAGATTCCGGCCACCACCGCCGGAATTTGGTCGAAAAATCGCGTTATGATACAGACCGGTCGGATCTATGTCGTAACGCCCCGTTATGGCCTTTTCCGGCCAGATCCACCACGGATTTGGCCAGAAAAGGCCAGATCCACCACGGATCTGGCCGGAAAAGGCCAAATCCACGGCCTGCCGTGGCTGCGACGGCCGAAAAAGGCCAAAACGAGGGCCATCTTTGGCAGTCAGCGACGACCAAAGATATGGCCGTCGTTTTCAGTCAACGATGGCCATTTCTTTGGCCGTCGTTACTGCCAGATCTGGCCTTTTTCGGCCAGATCTGTGGTGGATCTGGCCGGAAAAGGCCAGATCAGTGAACTTTCGACCATTCCTGGTTGGCAGGTAGGCTGTTGTACAGATTCCGGCTACCACCGATGGTGGTTGCCGGAATCTGGCAAGTATGGGTCGCGGGAGTGTTTTTGCTAATTTTAAAAAAAAAAAATCAGGGGGCATTTAATGAAATTAATAACCTTATAGGGTCTAAAAGTAATTAAAAAAATAGGGTAATATTTCTGGAATAATGTGCCAAACATTATTTGGAGAATAGGATTGGGAATATGAGTAAAAATAATAAGCCAAACATGCCCTTAAATATAATTACTATAATACTTTATTAACATTCTTAATAATGTATTATTAAAGTAACTGTTTTCTTCAATCTCAAGTGTGATGTAATACTCTGAAAGTGTTATAGATAATAAAAGATTCTATATATGTTTTAATTTATATTCTTTAATATGTTTAATATTTATATATTTTTTTATGTTCTTATTTTTTAATTTTATACATATTCTTTATTTATATTTATGCTCTCCTCATTTATATTTATGTTTTCTATTTATATTGTTGTTTAATTTTTACTAATCGTTTTAGATGATGTTAGAAACTGCATGATGGGTATACGTGTGTGTACCACAGAAGGAAAAAGGAAAAAAAAAAAAAAAAAAAAAGAATACCTAACGCAACACTGATTCACAGGTCACTCAACGAAGTGCTAAAAGTATAGAAAGCGGCAAATTCGCATCGGGAAGCGGACAATCTTGGAAAAGGTGAAACAAATACGACCCACACCTGGTGTAATCCTGATTGTGATCTCCCTAACTTCACTCTCCCGTCTCCACCTGTTCCATCTCTTTCTCGTTCTTTATTTTCTCCCCCACTTATTTCTACTACTACTACTACTCAAACTCTTCTTAGCCCAACTCCCAATAAACAACCATAATTCCAACATTCTCTTTCTCTTTGTTCAACAACATTTACGTTTATTGTGCATGCCATTTTCTTACATGACATAATGGCGGGGAACGAGTGGATAAATGGGTACTTGGAGGCGATATTGGACACGGGCTCGGGGGCCACGGCCATCGAGGAACACAAGCCGGTGTCGTTGAATTTGAGAGAAACGGGGCATCATTTTAACCCGACTAAGTATTTTGTGGAGGAGGTGGTTACCGGAGTCGATGAGACTGATCTTCACCGGACTTGGCTCAAGGTTGTTGCCACCCGCAACACACGTGAGCGAAGTTCCAGGCTTGAGAACATGTGCTGGCGCATTTGGCACCTCACCCGCAAGAAGAAGCAGGTCCTTTCTTTTTCTTTTTTCTCTATAACTATGTATGAATGCATGCAAACATGTCGGTCGATTCCATTTGTTGAGGTTTTCCTGGATATTTGGTGTGGATTGTGTAGCATTTTTGGATTATTCATTCAGATAATGTCCTGGTTTGGTTAAAGTTAATGGCCCGGGATCTGTTATATCGTCCTGGAATTTAATTGTGGAAAACAGAATTTTCGGGGTTGTATTTGTACATTAGACATTGAAAGGTTTAGACTTAAGATTCTGAGTTATTAGCAAATTCTTAAATCTTGCAAATTTAGTGTGTGAATGTGCACAACACTGTGAGATCGACTATTGTAGTTCCTGATATTGAAAGAAAGATAGTAAGAACAATATACTATGGTCATTGATCTTAGCTTGCTTGCGGAGGAAGCTAATATGATATGAAAATAATTATGATTTGATTTAATTGGCATGCTATATTTGAACAGCTGGAGTGGGAGGAAGGACAGCGGTTGGCTCATCGGAGATGGGAGCGGGAACAAGGACGGCGGGATGTGACTGAAGACATAGAAGACCTATCAGAAGGAGAAAAAGGAGATGCTTTGGGAGAGTTGGTGCAGCCTGAGACCCCAAGGAAAAGGTTCCAGCGAAACTTGTCTAACTTGGAAGTATGGTCTGATGATAAGAAGGAAAAGAAACTCTACATTGTCCTTATCAGGTATGAATCTCAGGCTTACTTTCAGGAAACATTTATTTTTAACTAACAAATTTGTCCACGAATAAAGGCTATAATCTTTCTCCTGCACATAAGCAAACAGAAACACGACACCTTTTGACAACATCTCCATGTGAGATTTTACATACACGACAAACACAAACACAATAAAAAACGTCATAGCTATTTTCATCAGATTTTCAAAATACCATTAAAAAAGTCCATCTTCTTCTTTCTATAGCCAGCATAGTCATATATAGTCCACCATCTGAGCTCTTCCAACAGCATGCAGCTGAAATACTATGAAATTACTAATCAAACTTCAACCAATATCTCCACAAAACTGGAAATTTATATCTTTGTGAAAAGTTAAAATCTATTTTGTATGACTGGATCCCTTTTTTAACCAACAAAAAATGAAGATAAAGGAGCAATAAGGAAAAGGGAAATCCTTTCTCTAAAAATATTAAAGACCCGAAAACCACCTAAAAGGAAACAACTGATCAACAGAGCCAGACAGAAAATCTTCGGAAAATCATCTTCAGATTACAAGCTACCTCCTCTTCCTATTAATCAAAAAGTTCCCAACGATAAGAAGAACAAAAAAAAAAAACATTTAAACACCTATTTGGCGTGGTGGCAGCCGCTGCATGAGCTAGGGTGCAGCGGTCATTGCTGCGCGGGCCGTGGCGTGGCAGCCGCTGGTTCTTGGTCTTGAGCTCGGTAGCCACCGCCACCGCCACCGCCGTCTGTTCCTAGGCTTTTGATTTTGTAAAGGGTTTCTAATTTTGATTCCGGTGATGTGGTGACGACTCGAGAGAGTGGCTTGGTTTGTAATTTTCCTTTTCTTTTTATTATTATTTTGTTGTATATTTTATTCTCTTTTTGTAATTTCCAAAACTTCTTAGGCGGTTTCTTATATTTTAACAAATTTTTAATTGGTGGAAAATGTTGGACCGTTAATTTTAAAAAAAAAAAAAAAAAAACCTTAAAAGACTAAAATGTAATTAACTCGTAATTCTTAGGATCATACATTTTGGCAATCATGAGTCAGTGTTAAGCTGTGAACAAAATGCAGGTGTAGTTATAATGTAGATTTGCTTTCTGTCTTTGTTATCTTTATGAACAGTTTGCATGGTTTGATCCGGGGAGAAAACATGGAGCTTGGTAGAGATTCCGACACTGGTGGACAGGTAGCTATTCCAATCACATTCGAATTATTAACAAGTTTATTAATGAATCTTTTCTCATTTCATTGCTGCTTGTGCTTACACAAATAATTGTTAGGTGAAATATGTCGTGGAGCTTTCTCGGGCACTTGCAAGGATGCCTGGCGTGTACAGGGTAGATCTTTTTACACGCCAAGTCGCTTCGCCTGAAGTTGATTGGAGTTACGGTGAGCCTACAGAAATGCTGAGTACTATGTGTTCTGAACATGATGATGGAAATGGAAATGAAATGGGAGAGAGCAGCGGAGCATATATTATAAGGATCCCCTTTGGTCCGCGGGATAAGTATCTTCGGAAAGAATTGCTCTGGCCGTTTATTCAAGAATTTGTAGATGGAGCTCTAGCTCACATTCTTAATATGTCAAAGGTTTTAGGTGAACAAATTGGTGGGGACCGGCCCGTCTGGCCATATGTCATACATGGCCATTACGCGGATGCAGGGGATAGTGCTGCTCTTCTCTCGGGTGCTTTGAATGTCCCAATGGTTCTCACTGGACATTCACTTGGAAGAAACAAGCTTGAGCAGCTTCTTAAGCAGGGACGGCAGTCAAAGGAAGATATCAATTCGACATATAAGATTATGAGAAGGATAGAAGCTGAAGAGCTTTCCCTTGATGCTGCAGAACTTGTTATCACAAGCACCAAACAGGAGATTGAAGAGCAATGGGGACTTTATGATGGGTTTGATGTGAAGCTTGAGAAAGTTTTACGTGCTCGTGCTAGACGTGGCGTCAATTGCCATGGCCGATACATGCCAAGGATGGTGGTAAGAATAACTATAGATGTTTTCCTGCTTCTCACTTGAAAACTAGTATTGCCTTCTCTATTTGAATTTATCTACTTAAATTTCAGTTTCATATGCTTATAAGTTCAAGTTAAATACGCTTTTCAGGTTATTCCTCCTGGCATGGACTTCAGCAGTGTTGTTGAGGTGCAAGAAGATGCCCCTGAGGTTGATGGGGACCTCGCCGCAATTACAGGTGGTACTGATGGGTCTTCTCCAAAGGCAATTCCAGCAATATGGGCTGACGTGAGTGCCCTGTTTGCTAAGCATTGTTTCTGTGCAACATTATTATTTTAAACTTTTGTGTTATTTAACAGCTGAACTCTTTTGGCAGGTAATGCGGTTCCTTGCAAATCCCCACAAGCCAATTATCTTGGCTTTATCAAGGCCTGACCCAAAGAAGAACATAACAACACTTTTGAGGGCCTTTGGAGAATGTCGTTCCTTAAGAGAGCTTGCTAATCTTGTAAGTGATTCTGTTCAACTACATGATGTACTTAGGGACTGGTAAATAATGCTTTTTATACAGGTACTGATAATGGGGAACAGGGATGATATAGAAGAGATGACTGGTGGAAATGCTAGTGTGCTTACAACAGTATTGAAAATGATTGATAAGTATGATCTCTATGGTCAAGTTGCCTACCCAAAGCATCACAAGCAAAACGATGTTCCAGACATATACCGGCTTGCAGCGAAAACAAAGGTTTAATTTATTAAAGATGATCATGATTTTAGAACTTGCTTTATATGGTTTTACATTGAGGATCATCTAAGTTGTGTAACAATTTGGCAGGGAGTCTTCATAAATCCTGCATTGGTAGAACCATTTGGGCTCACTTTGATTGAGGTTGTTTCTGAGTCATTACTAGATCTCATGAAACCATATCTTATATGCAAGAAAATGAGTTTTGATCTATATTTTTCTGAAATGATGTAGGCAGCAGCGCACGGGCTTCCGATGGTGGCTACTAAAAATGGAGGACCAGTTGACATTCATCGGGTAGGATGACCTTCGTCTAATTTCGAAATTATAAGATGTTTTGTTATGAAATGTATAATTAGAAGTCTCAGGAAAAAGGGTAAAAATTTATTGGTTGAAATGTAACCAATGGCTATGTCTTATTATGATTTTTAGGCACTGAACAACGGTCTGCTGGTGGATCCTCACAATAAAGAAGCCATTGCAGATGCGCTGCTTACGTTGGTATCAGATAGGAATTTATGGCATGAATGTCGAAAGAATGGTTGGAAGAACATACCTCTTTACTCGTGGCCTGAGCATTGCCGCACTTACTTGACTAGAGTGGCTGCTTGCCGAATAAGGCACCCACAGTGGCAAACTGATACTCCGCTGGATGAGATTTCTCAAGAAGAGTCATCTCTTAATGACTCACTTAAGGATGTGCAGGATATGTCACTTAGGCTCTCTGTTGATGGAGAAAAATCATTACTAAATGGATCTCTCGACTATACGGCTCCAGCTTCTGCTGACCCTGTCCAAGATCAAGTGAAACACGTTCTAAGCAAGATCAAGAAACCAGAATCTGATTCAACAGATAATAAAGAAGTTGGGAAGAAAACACTTGACAATGTGGCGAGCAAGTATCCCATGTTGAGGCGGCGACGCAGATTAATTGTTATTGCACTTGACTGCTATGACAGCAAAGGGGCTCCTGAAAAGAAAATGGCTCAGATAGTGCAAGATATGTTTAAAGCTATGCGGTCTGACAGTCAAATTGCAAAAGTCTCAGGATTTGCTATATCAACAGCAATGGGAGTGTCAGAGACAACGGAGTTCTTGAAGTCAGCAAAGATTCAAGTAAATGAATTTGATGCTTTGATTTGCAGTAGTGGAGGTGAAGTATATTACCCAGGCGCTTATACAGAAGATGGAAAACTTATTCCGGATCCAGACTATGCATATCATATTGACTACCGTTGGGGTGTTGATGGCCTAAAGAAAACTATTTGGAAGCTGATGAATACACCTGAAGGTGGACCCGAATCCAATAAATCTTCCGGCGTCATCGAGGCAGATGACAAATCAAGCAATGCAAATTGTATTTCCTTCTTGATAAAAGATGCTAGTAAGGTAAGGAAAACATGAGTATTACTTCTGAGCGATTTGGTACGTTTGGCAGGGTCTAATGGTGGCTTGGTTTCACAGGTAAGACGCGTTGATGATTTGAGGCAGAAACTTAGGATGCGAGGTCTCCGGTGCCATCTAATGTATTGCAGGAACTCTACGAGAATTCAAATTGTACCTCTCCTTGCCTCTCGATCACAGGCACTCAGGTATAGGACACTTTTCAGAGCATTTCTGAATAGTACAGAAATTGGCTATGTTAGAAATGAGTTCATGCTACTAAAATATTTGCATTGAATTTGGTTGTTAGGTATCTTTTCGTCCGTTGGAGATTGAATGTCACGAATATGTTTGTGGTTCTTGGTGAAAGCGGTGACACTGATTATGAGGAGTTGATTTCCGGAGCTCATAAAACATTGATCATGAAAGGCGTGGTGGAAAAAGGTTCTGGTGAATTACTGAGAACAGCAGACCTAAGAGATGACATTGTTCCGAAGGAGAGTCCCCTGATCGGATTCGTAAACGCCAATGCGAAGGTGGCTGAAATCGCGAATGCATTGAAACAACTGTCGAAAGCTAGTGTAGGAATGTGAGATAGTAATCTCTATTCTTTCTATCAAAATTAATATTTTTGACACTAATATAAAAAGAATTGAAAAAAAAATAAGGCTTTATGTTGTCAAATATGCATACAAAGTTCACTCTATTCTTCCTCTTCTTTTTCGATCTTCTCTCTCGTACACATGCGCGCACAACAGAAATGCATGCAGTTAACATATTGCCTGGATTGCAATGTGCAGGTGAATTCAGTTTTTTTTGGTTAAAATCAAATGCATTTCCTATTTTAGAAAGCTACTGATAATGCAATAGGCCTTTGTGCCATTACTTGTAAATTCAAATTTTCTAAACTTTAGTTAAATGTTTGAGGGAAGTATAAATATTTTGAATTTAATTAATTAAAAAATCTTAAAATCTAATTATTTTTTTTTTATTATGGACTGTTGGATTCTACATATCAACATATACTGAAGTAAATAAATATTTGTGAGGAACTTTGGAAAGTGATAAAATTCACATTTTTCATGCATTTTATGAAAAACACCTGGATTCGAAGCCAGTGTTATCATCTTATTCATACAGCATTTCCTCACAATCCTATAATTTATAAGAACAATATTATATTTATTTCCAAAAATCTTTTAAATAATAATATCATACTAATTCCATCTAATGTGCCACACGCGACTTCCATGCGCTGTAAAAACTGCTTTCCATAGTGTTAGTGTCGAGGTTAAACTTTTAATTTTAAACTATTCTCTATATTTTGAAAATTACGCCGAACGATATGTATGCACCCATAGTTTGCCAATATGATACCTGAAAAGTTTAAAAATGACAAACAACCACTTTTCATCGGATTTTGTTAAAGATTTCCGTTTGCTTAAGGATAATAGTGCTAGAAAAGACTGAAATGCCCTTGAAATTTTTTATCTTCTCTTCTACTTCTTTTTGGTCTCTGTTTTCTTCCATCTATTTATTTTCCTCTCTCTTCTTCTCTCTTGGATTTTGCCAAAATTCAAATGGTAAAGGGATAAATTTTATTGATTATGTTTGAAAGGATTTTAGAGACAATAGTGAAACCACAGCAATTGCTTATGGCGTAGGATTCTTCATTATATAGAAAACTGTTACAAGTATTAAAAGCTAACAATAGCAGTACAAGCTATACAAGGAAAGATATCTACATATTCTATATTTACAACTAATCAACTCCTACATATTTGTACAACGTCTGTATTGTCGTGTATTGCTCCTTAATGCTTGGATTGATTTTCTGTTTGATTGTAGCCTTGATTGTCTCCAGAGAATAATGCTCTGTTATCGCCAACACGCCCCCTCAAGTCAAGCATGGTTGGCAACACGGGAAGCTTGGATCGGAATAGCAGAAACAGAGGTTTTGATGGACTTTTGGTGAATATGTCTGCTATTTGCAAGGTTGATGGAACATGTTTAATCTTCAATATACCACTGCAGACTAATTCCCTAACAAAGTGAATATCAATATCAATATGCATGGACCTTCGTTGAGCTACTGGATTTTGAGTCATGAAAATGGCACTTATGTTGTCACAGAGTAACGTTGGCGGTTCTGTTGGTTGAATTTTTAAATCATGAAGAATGTTTAACAACCATTTAACTTCAGCTGCAGCGAGTGCCAATGCTCTATATTCGGATTCTGCCGAAGACCTAGATACTGTGGACTGCTTTTTGGAAGTCCATGAGATTAATTTGTCACCCAGAAAATTGCATATCCTGATGTTGATCGACTTGTGTCTGGGCAACCAGCCTAATCGGCATTTGAAAAAGCCAGAATTTTGAGATTGCTTGATGGATTGATGTTGAGTCCGAAATGGAGAGTTCCTTTAACATATCTGAGAATTCTTTTTATGGCTTGAAAATGTTGCTCTCTTGGTGCATGCATGAATTGACTTACTGAATTTACTACATGTGTGATATCCGGCCTGGTAATGGCGAGATATTGCAGTGCACCAACAAGGGATCGATAAGTTGTTGGTGAATGAAAGAGAGGACCATCAGTAGTCAAATGATTTGAGGCAATCATTGGTGTTGCAATTGGCTTTGAATCATGGAGATCAGCTCGGATAAGGATATCTCTCGCATACTTCACTTGACTGAGGAAATTCCCTTTTGAGAATGAGTAACTTCTAGGCCCAAAAAATAATTGAGATTGCTAAGATCCTTCATAGAAAACTCTTGCCGTAGCTTGTTAATGAAAGTGTCAAGGAGAGACACATTGCTGCCTGTGATGATAATATCATCCATGTATAACAGTAGATAAATGATGCCATTGTCCGATGAATGAACAAATAAACTAGAATCAGCTTTGCTGCAATTGAAACCAATTTTGATTAAAAAATTGCTAAAGCGATGGAACCATGCTCTCGGTGCTTGTTTCAAACCATAGATTGCCTTTTTGAGGCGACAAACATGATTTGGATGAGAAGCATCAATATATCCCGCTGGTTGTTCCATATAACCTCTTCTTGTATGAGACCATGCAAGAAGGCATTTTTAACGTCAAGTTGACGTATGTTCCAGCCACGAGAGACTGCAATAGAGATTACAATGCGAACTGTAGAGGCTCTAACAACGGGACTAAATGTGTTAGTAAAATCAACTCCATAGAGTTGAGTATAGCCTTTGGCAACAAGGCGTGCTTTGAGCCTATCAATAGAGCCATCCGAATGATATTTGATTCGAAAAACCCATTTGGATCCAACCACATTAGTAGCAGGTGGTCTAGGAACTAGTTCCCACTTTTGATTGTGAGTGAGAGCTCGAATTTCATCCTCCATTGTAGTTAGCCATTCGGGTGATTTGGCGGCACTCTTGAATCCTTTTGGTTCCTTCATTACTAATAGTGATGATAATAAAGGAGAGGAAGGAACTTGACAAACATAATTGTAATGTTTGATATTTGAGATACCAGCTTTTCCACGTGTTAACATGGGATAAGAATTCTGATTTGTTGTAGAATTTTGAGCTGGTGCAATCGGCATATCTGAAGCTGCAAGTGGCTCGATTGTTGAAGTAGGCACAAGAGGCAGTTCTGGAACTTGCTCAACTATTGGAGTAGGCACATGAGGCAGTGATATTGGTGAACTCTGAGATGTGTTCAACTCCAAGGCACATGATTTAGATGGATTGGATGGAGTGACTAATGGTAATGGCCGAGAACCTGCAGAAGAATTAGTGCTAGACAAAGGATAATTTGATGGACTGGGATCTTGAAAAGAAATATAATCTGAGAGTGCATGAGAAGGTTGCATATTAGAAGAAGATGATGGAAAAATTGTCTCATCAAACCGAGCATGTCGAGTGACAAATACTCGATGTGATTTAGGATCTAGGCATCGAAATCCTTTGTAGGATGAGTTGTAACCAAGAAAAATACATGGGAGACTTCTGGGTTCAAACTTATGTTTAGTATAATCTCGCAAGTATGGGAAACATAAGCATCCAAAAATTCGAAATATTGCATAGGTGGGAGACTTACCATGCATAATTTCAAATGGAGAGAACCCTTTCAAGACAGGTGTGGGCAAGCGATTAATTGTAAAAACTGCTGTATTGAAGGCTTCAACCCAAAGATGAAGAGGAATATTGGCATGAAAAAGCATTGTTAGGCCTGTTTCGGTGATGTGTCTGTGTTTTCTTTTGGCTCTACCATTTTGAGAAGGTGTATAGGGGCAAGAGAGCTGATGGTGAATACCACATTTGGCTAAGTGAGACTGAAAAATGGTACTTGTGAATTCACCTCCCCCATCACTTTGGAATTTTTTTATCTTTGCCAAGAACTGATTTTCAACAAGTGTTTGAAATTTTATGAAGGTTTGAAAAAAATCAGCTCTGTGCTTTAATGGATAGAACCAAGTGAAGCGAGAGTTATCGTCTATAAAGATAACATAATATCGATATCCAGAGATAGAATTTATTGGTGCCCGACCCCATAAGTCGCAATGTATGAGTCCTAAAATTCTTTTGGATCGACTATCACTTGTTGGAAAAGGGAGTTTATGGCTTTTAGCCTTTTGACAACTAACACACAAAGATGGATTCGGCAATATAGAGCTGAGAGATTGAAGACATTTCTTATGAAGCATGGAAATTATTTGAGATGATACATGGCCTAAATGGGCATGCCAAGTGTCAAAGGAATTACATAAATTGTTCTTGCTAATAACAGTAGAAAAAACATGGTTTCCACGCTTCAGTACATAGAGTCCATCTACACGATTACCGCTTGCCACCACCTTTCGAGTTTGAAGATTCTGTATGATAAAATCATTGTCAATAAAGGAAACAGACAAAGGAAAATCATTGGTTAATTTACTGACGGAAAGCAGATTTTTGGTTAAGTTTGGCACCACAAAAACATCATTTAATTGAAGAGTTGGAGTGGGAGAGTAGGAACTCATGTGTGTGATGGGTAGGGAGGATCCATTACCAACAATAACTCTGTCCTTACCAGTGTAAGGTTCCACCTTATCAAGTTGAGACACATCAGAAGTCATGTGTGCGGATGCTCCTGTATCAATGTACCAATCTGCTGTGTCGTTGCTGATGGTGCAATTTGCAAGTGCTTTAGCAAGGTTTGCATCAGATTTTGTATATCTGATCTTACAGTCCGTGGCATAATGGCCTTCTTCACGGCAGATTTGACATTGAGGAGGTCTCCTATTCTGTTGCTTGCCACGATTTCCTCCCTTTGATTGGCCTCCTTTATATTTGTTTTGATTACTATTAGGCCTTGCATTTCGGTTTGAAGATGCAGAGGAGGAATGAGCCACATAGGCAAAGACGCCACCTGCATTGTTATCAATAGACTTGAAAAAAAGATCCAAGCTTTCTGCTTTAGGAACAATATCTTTGAAACTTGGGATAGGAGTTCAAGATAATTGAGTGGTAGAGAAACTTAAGAACTCGTGGCCTAGACCACGTAAATACCAGCGCACTTTGTCAGTGTCGTCAACTGGACGTCCCATGGCCGATAATTGATCACAATGGGCCTTGAATACTCGAGAGTATTCAGAAACACTGCGAGAGCCACGCTTCATGAGATGAAGTTCATCTTTTATTTGAAGTTCCCGAACCTTAGATTTGTGACTGAAGGCAGTTTCAAGAGCGTTCCAGACTTCTCTTGATGTTGCAAGTCCAATAACGACAGAGAGTGCTTCCTCCGTGAGAGAGGAAAGAAGAAGACTCATGACTAGTTGGTCATTTTGCTTCCAAAGGTTGTGGGCTGTGGGATCAGAGGTAGCGGAAGGCATAGATGTGGAGCCATCAATATATCCATAGTAGTTTTGACATTGCAGCAGGGGGACTACTTGGCTGCGCCAATGGAGAAAATTGTTTGATGATTGCTTGATTGTTACCATGTGAACCATGGTATTAAAGGAGAGTGTAGAAGAATTTTCTGAGGCCATAGAATCGAGTGGAGGTTAATCCTATTGTGCTCGTGATACCATGAAAGGATTTTAGAGACAATAGTGAAACCATAACAATTGCTTATGGCGTAGGATTCTTCATTATATAGAAAACTCTTACAAGTATTAAAAGCTAACAATAGCAGTACAAACTATACAAGGAAAGATATCTACATATTCTATATTTACAACTAATCAACTCCTATATATTTGTACAACGTCTGTATTGCCATGTATTGCTCCTTAATGCTTGGATTGATTTTCTGTTTGATTGCTGCCTTGATTGTCTCCAGAGAATAATGCTCTGTTATCGCCAACAATGTTTACTCTAATTAAATTAAATTTCCTAAAACCTCTCACAAGATCTCTTTCTTGTAAAATCATCTACACAACCACTTCACAGTCCAGTCCAATCTCCCCCATCCTCCACCGTTGCAAACTTCTCAAAACCACCAACAGACACATCTTCATAACCTTGAAGAATTTTTTCATAAGCGAATATCACCATCCTTTGGCAGCCAATAATTCCCTCTTTCACCCAGCAAACCCACCCACCCCATTCACCTTGCTCCCTTCCCAACAAACCCACCTCACCCTTTCCTCATGTCCAACAACCTATCAGCCCGCCCAACAACCCCAAAAAGACATCATCCGCACCCACTTTACCACGCAAAACAACCTGCAGCTCCGTAATCCTCAGTAAAAGATCAAAATAGTCACAATCAATTCTTTCGGGCTTTTTTTTTTTTTTTTTTTTTTTTTTTTTTTTTTTTTTAAAAAAAAAAAAAGGGGGGGGGGGAAAAAAAAATTTTTTTAAAGAAAATAAAAAGGAAAAAGGAAGGGGTGTGGAGATCTTTGTGCCCTGAGATTAATAGAGGAGAAAACAACGGTGGATGATTGAGGGACGAGAGAGTGAATTAATATTAGTGGCCGACGAATAAAGTGGAATGGAGGTAGTGGTAGGGTGGGAGGCGTTGGCGGGATTTGAAACAAAGGAGGATTGGTGGGATTTAAGGTGTTGGAGCTAGTGCTAGGGAAGGGTAGAAACGAACGGTGGCTGTGCATTAGGGACGGAGAAAGAGGGAATTATTGGCTGCTAAAGTAAAGAGGAAGATAAAAGAGATGAAAACACAGACACAGATGAAGATAAAAAGGAATATTAACAAACGAAAATCTTTAATAGAATCTAACGGAAAATTATTGTTTGTTATTTTCAAACTTTTTGGGTATTATATTGTCCTTACGGCAAACTATGGATAGATATATATCGTTTGCCCTTGAAAACTATCACTAATGTCCCTATACCACCTCTCTTAAAATTTAGGGATATTTCTTAGAAAAAAATATTAAATTATTGTAGCATAAATTAGTTATTCAAATTATTATTTAGAGTAAACAACATGTTCCCACCCGAGGTTTAACGAAATCCAGAAGTAATACCACTGGTTTTATTTATTCCAGATTGCCGCCATTAAACTAACAGTGTTAGTCACTGTTGGATTCAGAAGAGAGCAATTACCAAACTACCCTCCCATCTTCGTCTTCTTCTTCATCTCCCCCTTCTTCTCTTCTGCCGCTTCTCTCTCCCTCCCACAGCCACAACACAACCACAACCACGCTCCTCTCTCCCTCCCGAAACCCCAAAGTCACCACCACCACCACCCACCACCATTCCACCCATCTACCGCCATTGCAATCCCTCACCACCACCCGATCTTTGTCTTCTTCTTCTTCTTCTTCTCCCCTTCTTTCTTCGCCGCTTCTCTCTCCCTCCCACAGCCACCCGTGCCATAACCACGCTCCTCTCTGCCTCCCGAAACCCCAAAGTCACCACACCACCCACATTCCACCCTCTACCGCCATTGCAATCCTCACCACCACCCGATTTCGGTCCCATTTGCTCGATCTCGGCTTTGTTGGCCGTCCTCATCATCACCACAAAAACCACCACCTTCCACCCCAAACCTCCATTTTCCCGACAGTGGTAAAGGGGAAGCAGTTGGTGGAGAGAAGAGAAGAAGAAAAGAAAGAGAGAAGAAAGAGGAGAAGAAAAAGAAGAAGAGGAAGAATCTGGTGGAGAGAAGAGAAGAAAAAAGGAGAAGAAGAAAAGAGAAAGAATCTGGAAGAGAGGAGAAGAAGAAAAAGAAAAAGAAAAGGAAAGAGGAGAAGAAGAGGAAAGCAGTCAACGGTGGTGTGTTGAGAGAAATGGGTTTTGACACTTTACCCTTAACCTTTAAAAAAAACAAACAGTGTTAGATAAGGGTAGGTATCTGGAATAAATCAAACCAATGGTATTAACCTTGCATTTGGTAAACCTTAGGTGGGAACATGTCGTTTGCTCTATATTTATTTGTAATCAAGGTTTCCTCATCCACATTGTATTGATGTAAATTAACAGTTGAAAATTGAAAATTTTGTCTTAAATTTACGCATAATAATATGACAATAAGGGACAACTTTTGAAGAAGCGAGCGATAAGAGATTAGAAATATGACTTGTGAGCGATAGTTTTCAAATTATATGGGGCTTTTTAAATTTAGAGAAGATCCAGGGGAAATAAGGATATTAACCCATAAGTGACGTCCCAAATCCCACGTGTCAGTTCATCGAGCAAACCAATCCCAACTGCACAAACACTCAATCTAGTGGCCACTCTTCACACAGGGCCTTCTCGTAGCTATTAGTGTTTCTTTATTTTTAAGAATATTTTTTATATAAATAAAAAATTTTATTATTTTTAAAATAAAGAATAAAATTTTTATTTAAATTATATATTTTTAAATTTAAAAAAATATAATTTTTTAAATTAATAGAAAAGATAAATTATAAATAAAAATATAAAAATTTATAATTTAATTTAAAATTAAGATAAAAAATATATTTTTTTAAATTTAATAGAAAAGATAAATTATAAATAAAAATTATAAATTTATAATTTATAATTTAAAATTAAGATAAAAAGTAAAATTTAATCCTAAATAAAAGGGAAAACACACTCTAATTATATTTAAAGAATAAAACGGTTGTAACACTTTTTTAATAAAGAGTCTGCTCATTTAAAGAATACTGTTCCTAACCCTCAAAACGACTACCCACGCGCCCTACCTTTGCCAACCATCACGCTCGCGATTCTCATTCTTTCTAAACAAAAACAAAAGCAAAAAGGTTGGGAAGAGGAGAATTCAAAAGAATTTTATGTTAAAAGGTTTTAGTAAGTTAGATTTGTGTTGCAGGATAGATTGGTTGGTGGGCAACAGGGTAGTTAGTTCCCATATCATTTTCTTTTATTCTGTTTTTTTGTTTCTATTTTTAACACTCCTGGTTTTGCTTGCTCCTTCGTTTAGTATAAATTAAAACACTACAAATATGTGTGTATGCATATATTATAGATTCTTGTTTATTAATTTTTTCCTTTTTTGATGGATTAAATTTGTCGTTTTGTTGGGTCAAAAAGTTTGGCTTCAATGATTTCTGCTTATCTTGTTGGGGAAGTGTTGTGTTGGTGTATAAGGGAATTTTGCAAATGGGGTTGAGGGGCTTGGTTCGTAATTGTGTTTTCGGGGTATAATGATCCTATTAATTCTTAGATTGGCACAAAATTTGATTAGTTGTAAGATGAATTTGACGTGTTGTTTTGTGTGATACTGCATAGTTGGGAGGATGGGTTTGGAAACTTTCTGGGGTTGCTAATTTGATGAGTTAGAGTTAGGGCTGTGGAAGGGATGATTTAAGGTTTATAGGTTGTTAGGTCTTGAAATTGGATGGTTATGGTGCCTTGTTGTAATGTTTAAGACATAGATAGAGGTGGCATTGTCTGGTTTCTTTCATGTTAGGATTTATAGTGGTACTAAGACCGGTTGTGCGAATGTTTGATAGGTTTGAAATATTTTAGGTGGTTTCTGTGTACTATGGATCATTTAGATTAGCTTGAACATTAGATGGACTCGAACGTGATGCCAATTGTAGTAGAATTTATTTGTAATGGATGCTTCATGCTGGGGCGTCTTAGGTCTGTTGAGTCGTTTTCCCACTAACATGGAAATTAAAGTGGTCATATATGGAACTCAAAAATTTTAAACGCCTTCTTTTTAGCAGGTCATTTATGCTTGCCACTTGGCATTATATTACTTCAGAATCACTCATATATTTTGGAAATCTTCTGTATATGGTCAATTTCGCCTCGGAAGCTGTGAATTTTGGATCTTTGTTCAACTTTTGTAGGCATTGTTTGGTTTTTGTATTGGAATGTGTAATATTGCTTTGAGAGCATATAATAATTTTGAGCTCTTAAAATCCGTCGAAGGACGTTTAAATAAATATTTTTATGAGACTTGAAAACAATTTACACTTCCGGTGGATTCTTACCAAGGTCATCACATATTCAATATTTCTTTCCTTTTTGGGGAAATCTTATGTGATTTTGAAGTTTTGGGGTAAAATAATCAATATAAAAATATTATAACGTGAATGGATCATAGCGATTGCATTCTGGTGCACTTGTATGCTTGGTTGTCTGAAGATTTTTCAGCTCATTCAATTATGATCATAGATTGTATTGATATGAATGAAGAAGTGCCATAAACGAATTTGAACATTGAGGTGCTCTAAAATTGGGTGTCTTTCTATGCTTAAAAATATCCTTCTATCTAATAGTTTCCATCTGAAACAGCTTCAGATGACCTTAATTAGTTGTAGCTTCAACGCCTTCAGATGACCTTAATTAATTGCAGCTTCAACAGCCCGTAAGTGCAGGACATTTGAAGAATGTGCATTTCATCTTATTTGACCTATAGAAAATAGTAAAACTGTCGTACACTTCAGTGGCTGGATAATTTCTTGTTGAACAAAAGCATCCATTAACTTGGCAATTGCAATAGACTGGAAGAGAATTTTTCTTGTGTCCAGTCCTTTGGTTTTGCAGAAGTAATTAGTTGTCGTATAGCTCATAAGGATGTGAAAGAACTGCTATTTGTCTGCTATTGGGATCGTATGCTTAGGATGATCTGCCCCAAAGGAAAAACCTTGATTTTTGGGTGCACCAGCTGACTTTATGCATTCTGTAGCTTTACAATGACATTAATTTTGCAATTTCATTCGAGTTAGATTAATTGGCCTGAAAGCGGAATTGAAAAATGGAAAGAACAAAAGCAATGAGGTAAACCTATTGAAAAAATAAATAAATAAATAAATTGGTGATTTGAAAACCAACAAATAAAAAGAGCAATATTTATGAGTATTTAAGGATATGATATTTCTGGAAGATTAGGATGTTGGGTGCTGATGCACTTATACTCTCTGCCACTTGTGTGGGTGAAGTGTCATGTGAAAGTTGAAAGGCATAAAAAAGATTTGAAGTCATTTTGGTTGAAATTCTCACTGAAACTTAATGATTCACCATTTATGGTATGAGACACTTAAACATGCTGCCAGTTTATTCTTTTTGTATCTCTTGATTCTTCTTTTAAATTTATTTTATCCCAATAGTTAAAGGTTAACTCGTAGAAATTCAGATATGTTATACACATGTTCTGCTCTTGTTGTTTTCACGATTCCTATTGGTAGTTTCTGTCCAGTGGCATTGCTTCATTGATATTGTTTGTTGTAAGATATTAAATTCTTTTCATCTGTTGCTTGATAACAGCATATTTAAAGTGGCAAAGTGCTGAATTTCTGTTTGTTTTCATTTCTATATTATTGTATCATATCATATTTTGCTGTTGTAGATTGCGGTTTTTTACAAACACTTTACTATCATAGCAGAAGGTGCCTGAACTGAATAATTATACACTTTGGACATACACGCTGAATAATGGCAGATGGACTATCAAGCTTTTGGGGTCCTGTCACTTCAACTGACTGGTGTGAAAAAAATTATGTCTACTCTTCTTATATGGCAGAGTTTTTCAACACTATGTCAAATGTACCAGGCATTCTTTTGGCACTTATTGGCCTTATAAATGCCTTGAGACAGCGGTTTGAGAAGAGGTTTAGTGTTCTTCACATATCTAATATGATACTTGCCATTGGGAGCATGCTATACCATGCCACACTGCAACGTTTGTAAGTATTCTTTTGTTATTTCATCTTCTTGACTGATACAAGAGAAAAAATCTGAATAACATGATGTAAGTAGTTGAATGCATCGTGCCATCGTTATGTTGGCAGTAGAACACAATTAGGAGAAGTGTTCAGAATTTTTTTTCTTCTCTTCTTGCAATTGTGTAGTTTTTTACTGGAATAGGTAACTCATCTAATTAGTAACAAAAAGTGATGCTTAACTTTGCACTGATATTTGGAGAAGCTGTATACTGTAGTCACCTTAAAAGTTAAAGAAACAAGAAAATTCATGTTCTAGAGTCTATTGCAACTAGAACTTTATGCATGCTATATGTTGTTCAGAGACTATTTTGTTTAATAGATAAAAAATTGACAATCCAACAGCAATGGATAATTTTAATAATATATGCTAATTATAGGACTTAATGGAATCGTTTCAAAAATTAAAATTAATATATATTTATGATTTACAGGAAACTGTTTAGGGTTGAATTGGGCAATTGTTTAAACAATCAAATATTACATTCAATTTAGTGAAGGGTGTATAAAAACATTTTTTTTCTTCTCTTCTTGCAATTGTGTGTGTGTCTCTGTGTTGTGTGAGTGTGTGTGTGTGTGTGTGCGCGCGTGCGTGTGTGTGTGTGTGTGTGTGTCTGTGAGTGATAAAATAAAGAAAAGAAAAGAGAAAGGAAAAAAAAATGGTCCATTAAGTGTGTGTGTGTGTGTAATAAAAAAATAAAGAAAAGAAAAGAGAAAGGAAAAAAAAGAATGGTCCATTAAGAGATGATTAATGCCTGTGGAATATGCTTTTGTACATAGTCGAGAAGTTGTGTAAGTGTGAAAAGACATCATAATTCTCATCAGACGATACTAATCTGAATTAGACTAAAGAGTAGTTCTTAGATCGTATTGACTATGTTTATCACTTTAATAGGAAAGTATTTTCTTTTGTCAAGGTGGGCTATCTTAGAGCATAGCGTTGGATTTTCTCCTTCACAGAGTCTAGGTAGCATAAACCTACTGGCAAATTAGAATGCTGGAATTTTTAAGCACTTCTTAAGACTTGTTGATGGTTTCATACTGTTCCTTAGCCCAAAATAGAGTTAAAGAAATGAACACTACTTTATTCTTTCTTACATATTTGCTTCAATAAAATTGATTTTTGTGAGCTAGTTGCATTGCATCTGTTTTATGCCTCCTGCACATCATCTCCAACTCTTTGAAAGTAGAGAAGGATGAGAAAGGCTGAAAATTGCAGAACTTGGACAAATTGTTCTTTATCTTAGCTGAAACTCATCTTAAAATATATTCAACTTCAGCTGTTTTGATTGATTGCTTACTTGCCATGTTGATCTGAATTTTGGAGATTGGTTAATTTATTTCAGGCAACAGCAAGGTGATGAAACACCTATGGTGTGGGAAATGCTCCTATATATCTATATTCTCTACTCACCAGATTGGCACTACAGGAGTACAATGCCCACCTTCTTGTTTCTTTATGGTGCTGCATTTGCAATTATCCATGCGCTGTTTCGTTTTGGAATTGGCTTCAAGGTACATTACATCATACTGTGTCTTCTTTGCATCCCTCGGATGTACAAGTACTACATCCACACTGCAGATGTATCTGCAAAGCGGCTCATGAAGCTATATGTAGGCACCATAATCCTAGCAAGTCTTTGCTGGCTATTTGATCGCATGCTTTGTGAGAAGGTTTCTGTTTGGTACTTTAATCCCCAAGGTCATGCATTGTGGCATATTTTCATGGGGTTCAACTCATATTTTGCAAACACATTCCTGATGTTTTGTCGCGCTCAACAGCGGGGATGGAATCCAAAAGTTGTTCACTTAATGGGATGTCTCCCATATGTGAAGGTTGAAAAACCAAAAACGCAGTGAATGATCGTGGAACAAGCAAATTTTATCCTCTCCGACACATTTTTTTGGTAGGTGTAAGGTTTTGGCAGGTCATAAACAATAGCAATCATAATTCTTTTTCCCTTCTTTCCTAAATGGATGTAAATGATAATTGGATGTGATATGATATGTTGACATATTAGTTTATTTTAACTGAAAGATGTGTTTTCTTTTTTCCTATTTTCCAAAAGAGGAAGCAGAAGTAATTTGGTAGTACAGTATATTTTTTGAGATCTGATGAATTGGGTAGCTATCAGGATTTATTGAAAGTGAAGGATCAGTGTTCTCTTTTTCTTCAGAACATGTGCTTGAAGTTTATCATGGGAATTTGTTTTTGCAGCAGTTCAGTGAGAGGCTTTCTCCTTTTTCAGATATATAGAGTGGTACCTTAACAATCAATGATTTCAAGAGTTTCCATTATTATTATGTTGGGGATAATTCTATACATTGGAGCATTGAGAAAGTTGATAATTGTTACTTTCTTTTTTCTTTTTCTTTTTTTTTTTTTCTGGAAGTGTCTTAAAAAATGGGCATTAACTGATAAAAAGGTGAGGCTAATTCCAGAATTTGTTGCTTTTGTCCAGTTTGTCAAACAATCTATGACTCGCACAATATGGAAATACCGTCCACCTTTGATGTTCTTGTAGCTATACTTGCGTGAATTTTGGCTTTCAAATTAATTCAGTTTTCTACTTGAGTGAATTCAACTCCATTTAAGTTCTTTTCTGTCAAATTACCAACAAAATTCAAAATCAATGTACAGCTTCCATTGATACTACTTGTAACAAAATTCATTATTATTTATTTATTTAATCTTTTGTCATACTTTATATTCTTCTGTACATTATTATGTTTCATTTGGACTACTAGATATCTAAAATTTGATTCAATGGATTAAAATTATAAATCCATATAGTTTTTTGCAATCATTTTAAATATTCATTATCTTGGTTACCCATTTCTTAGATTTTTAAGCAAATTCCATAACAAAAAAATATCTCTACACAATCAAAATTAAACAATATCCTCCTGTTAGGTAAAAGCTTTTGCCACTTTCTAGCATAAAATTCTTCAGCCAATTCTGTGGCAGAGATACCAGGAAACTAACACCAGGTAAGATGATCACTATACAATTTTTCATATGAAGAAAGTCTTATGTACAATTTTTTACGCTGAGAAAGTTTTCAGAGGCAAGGATACCCACCTGAGTAACATTGGACGGATACACATTTACCTGTTTCACAGAAATCTCTTTCATTGATATCACAAACTCCAGCTGCTAACAATATATCCATATAATAGATACTAACAATTACAAGAGCTTCAGAAAGTCAACACTACGCAGGGTAACTGTGAAAGTAGTGAAAACACATTTCCAAAATTCTTAACTAATCCCATCTCAAACTCTGTTAAGCATATGTTTTCAAGTGATGAACAAATTAAAGGTTAATGCAAATCAGCTAAACTAAGAAACCGGTCCTAAATAATCGCCCTCCAAGCTGACCAGCGCCTGAAACTCTCTTTCTGCCTCGAGCCACTTTGTTCCGATGACGATGAATCGAACAGAAACATTTTTCTCAATCTTTGAGTGCTTGTCATTCAAGAAGACTGGATTCTCCCCTTGCACATACTTATAGTCAGGCATTTTTGCACTGGAGAGATATATACTTTCGATTGGCCCACACTTCAAAAAAACACCATGCTTCAGCACCTTGTGCACAATCCCCTCCAAGATCTCTCCCCTGTAAATTTTGAAGGTGATTCCACTGAAAACAACAGGAAACAGCACCTCCCCTGTGTTCGATCTAATTTTTCCTTCACCTATGCTCACCAAAGTTGTGACTGCAAGATAGTATCCAAGATCTTTGGTAGCCTTTTTGCAGGCAAAGTCATCCAATAAACGGAGAACTATAGATTTGTGAAGCATCAGTCCATTTGCATCCAGTTTTTCTGCAGGGATTACAACATTCCATGGCAATTTGACTTTGAGAAACATTTTGTCCCACTGTCACATACCAAAAGTGTGAGATGATAATAAAACCATAACAAGCTCAGGTTTTTCAAATTTTCACAGGAGTTGATCTTTCGATAAACTAATTTTTACATATTAGTTAACAACATGTTAGTTACTAATGGAAATAATGGTGCACACTGGGAAACATGAAAGTAGGCAGCATGATGAACCACTACAGCAATGAAGGTTGTGGAACCAAATGTGTTATCATATCGTACTGTGGTGCTGTCGTAGAGTGAAAAAACAGAGGAATTTGTGGAGGTAAAGGTTAAGCAATTGATTGCACAAAGCCGTGGGTTAAAGCAATGGAGCAGTGTGAGCTGACAGATATATCTAATAGCATCATGTGGCACTAATTCAAACAAGTATTTTAAACTACAAATTTATGAATATTAATACACTCATCGAACAAATATGATTAAACCCCTTAAAAGAGGGATATCACAGGAAAGGAAGTTCAAAATTCTCACAAAAACAAGCCTGTACTTGTTAATTTCAAAACAAATTAACAAATATTATCTTGAGATTCTAATAAAATGTGTAACTCAAGTCCAAATAGAACCCTTCAAATCACCACTCAATAAAAATTTGCAAAGTATACAAAATTCTTAGTTATTTCAACAAAACATTCATTCTCATGCAAAAATTCCAGAGAAACAAACACTCAAAATCTTGTTGCTGGAATGTAACTGAGTATGACTCAAATAAAGTGTTCTTTATATCCATAATTTCACCAAATAAAAAATCTTAGTCTAAGTTAACCTTATTCGAGACATTATTTTTCAGCTTTTCAAGGTAAATTTTTGATGTAAATTCATGTTGTACAATATCACACACACAAATCATGACCCATAAACCCCAATCTCAGAAAGTAAAAAACTTTTTCACTATCCAAACCTACCTCGATTTATAAAACCCGAAACCCCCCCCCCCCCCCCCCCCACCCCCCCCCCCCCCACCCCCCCCCCCCCAAAAAAAAAAAAAGAGAAATATTAGCATAATCTTTTGCTAAGTAAACCCTCACGATCAGTAATAAACCCTAGGCAAATCAAAGTAGTATCAGGGAATGAAATAACTTTTAAATAGCTTGTAAATGTCCAAAACAAACAGTCAAATACCCCCTTTCAGTTGATCATCAAAGCACCAAATAATAAAAAGCAAACCTGACTGGCTCTACCGAGAGAATGAAGAATCGTTTCTCCTGACTCACTGAGTCTCTGACTCGTCCTTTCGTGCTTGGTGGGATTTGGGAGTGACTACTGACTAGTGACCGTGGCCGTGAGGCGCATGCAGTCTCGTGGTGTGTTGACTGAATGTTGACCAATCACCAAAAACTTGCGGGTTTTTATCAATGGATTCACAGTTTTTAAATATAAATATATATTTTTTTTTTATAATTACAAATTTAATTTTTTAATTAAAATTAAAATTATCTATGAATTTTGATAAGAGATGGCAGGAAAACTCGGAGGGGTTGGATGCCCAAAAAAATCCAATACCGAGGGACTAGGATGAGGAAAATTATATGGGACGTACGAGGGCAGAGGCGGAAATCTGCATAAGCCGGCCTCATGCCCAGTAAAAATAATATATAATTGTAATTAATATTTTAGTTAAAAAAGAAATTCAGAGATTTTGCGGTACGAGGTGGAAATCAACAACATAGCAATGTTAAGGAATATTGTCATATTTAATATCAAATTGGATATAAATTATAACATATAAGAAATTAAAAGTAAAAATAATGATAATGTTGGTGTGGGATTAAGTATTGATAGAAGTAATTGAAAAAGAAGAGAGAAGTGAAGTGCACTTAAAGGAATAAAAATGGATTACTCTTAAATCACATACTTGTTTGTAATTGGAGTTTGCCACTCTAGTGAGCAATAGATTAGAATTAAGCCAACTACTATTAAAAAAATCCTTGGCGTTTAAAGTGGAGAAATCCAATTGCATGGTAGTACATTCTTTATTTATTTTCCTCTACTCTCTAGTGGGTTTGCTTTGCTATACAGGCATCTCTCATTATTTTAATGCTTCAGCTCTATTCACCAGATAAATAAATAAAACCATAAAACACTTCACCCTGCAAAATTTATCTGAAATTCATGCTTTAACATTTTTGTATCCATCAGAAGCACTACAAGGGACTTGTGGGCCTCCCTGTTAAACACACAAGAAAAGAAGGGAAAATTATTAACTATTGAGACAATACATGTATATTATCTACAAAAAAAAAAAAAAATCTGATTCAATTTTTCAAAAAATTGACACAGACATGGTTTGAGAATGTCATGTGTTAAAGAGCTTCCTGAATGGTCCATCCTTCCTGTCTTTGGCGGCTTCAGTTAGAGCAAGGAACCTCTTGAATCCCGTCGTGGCTGCCCCTCGCCCAAGTGCAGCTGCTCTGGTTAGCACGTCTTCTCGTGAAGCAATAAAACCAAGTGAAGCATTATTTGAAATCACTGGAGCTGCAGGAGCCGCAGGTACAGCCTGGGCAATTGATGGTGGAATAGAAGGTTGCGTAATTGCTGGTCCATGTTTGTTGAAGTCCTCCAGTATAGTCTGCTGATCAGCTTTTTTAAGACCCTGTGCATGCCATACTCCAATTAAGCCCACAACTAAAATTTATGCAAATAACACACAACATTTAAACATGGAATATATATTTTGTTTTCTCTAGTTTAAGTCATTTAGGCAAATATAGAATAGATTTAAACCCCTTGACAATATAAATGAGAGTAGAATATGCTCAATAACACAGTTGGAACTGCTAATTGAATTGGTAAAATATCTCTTCAATATTGAATGAAATATATACTATTTCATTCTTATTGAAATCCCTCAACCAATTCAAATGGACCTGCGTGAAACCACAATTGTAGAACATCTTAAAAATGCAATTTTTGCTGAGAACACTCTCAATGAAATCACTGCACTTATCAACTTAGAGCTTTGTCTCAGTCAACTGCCAATTACAAATATAAATAGAAAATAACATAGAGCAATGCATATCATATAACTTTATAATCATGAAAATAGGACTTCTCATTAGAATATAGCAACTAATTCATCATGCACTATCCATCTATTTAAGTTGATATATTCTAAGCTAGCAATGCGATGCATTAATTTTTACTTAATTGAGACTTCCAGCTCTAAGTCCAAGGAAAGGTTACTGTATTCTCTCTGGCTTAATAAGAAACAAACAGGTATAGAGATAGAATCATAAAAGAGTTGTCTGAGTTTATATTCTGTACTTTATACTTCAGAATACTCTAGTAGATTTCAGCCATAGGCTTCTGCCATCCTACATTCAAGTTGAAACCTTCTTGGATTTGAACTTTTAAGACCTCAGATCAAGGGATAATTACATTCACCTATCCTGAGATTTTGCAAAAATGAAAAGGATGAAGAAATATTTTTTTCTTCAATAAAGAAGAAAAGACTGTTTTCAATTTACCATCTCTTCCCATGCATTGTTTTCTCTCTGTGTAATTTAAATTCTCAGTTACATGGTCATTCTTAGATATAATTATTCTACGCTTCTAGTTAATACAACCACTCCCTTGGAAAGAGTCACCCTCACAGGTCTCTGATGGATTTTAGTGGGAACTGACGTGGAAAAGAACCTATTAAAAATCATGTAGCAATCCTCTAAAAGGACTCACTATTTATTCACTAACATAATAGAGATATCTAATCTAATTCGATTTTAACTAAATATTTTATGTTGTAATTTTAAATTTTGTAAATGAGTACAATCCTCATTTCTTCTATTTATATTGTACTTTTCCGAGGGTCTTTATTCTCTTTTCAGTCTATATGGGTTGTTCTACTTTGCTAACTATGTAAGGTTTCTGCCTAAAAATGAATAAAGAGTCCTGCCTAAAAATTAAATCATCCAATATCAAATCTTAATTGTAGACGTTTCAGAGAATTTAAAAAGAAAAAAAAAAGAAAAAAGAAAAAGAAGCATGTGCTACTTGATGTAACCTTAAGCTCTAGAATACGCTGAAATTCCATTGGTGTTCCCTCTGGTAGCAATGCACGATATGTATCTGCTACAGAATCTACTGGGGATAGTATAACCTGTAGATCAAAACAAAAGTTTGAATTGATTATAAAACATGTAACTGGTCAGAGGACAAACCCATCAGTAATTTGATCACAAACCTTCAAAAGAGCTTCAGCTTTACTCATCTCACGGCTCACAAATTTTGAATAGCTAGCAGCACTTGCTGTCTGTATCAGAAAAATAAATGAACTGGTAAGAAGTCTAGGCTGTGTTTGTTTCCCTATTCAAAATACTATCTTATCCAATCTTATTCAAAATACATATTTGTTTCAATATTCTTAAAATCCAATTCTATTTTATTCAATTCAAAATATTTAAATTTTTTTAACCCTCTGTATTTGTTAATTTAGCTAAACACTTCCAACAATAAAAATTTATAAATTGACAAAAACACTTCCACCCACCCACATATTGCCAGCAGCCAGCCACCACTGCCGAAAGGTGACCGGATCTGCTGGAATGGCACATGTCCAGTTGAATGTGGCCGGTCGTGTGCCGATCTGACATTTTCTGATGGATTTGCCCGAAAAAAGCCAGATCTACAACCAAAGATCTAGCCGTTAACGGGACAGCCAGATCGGTCGTCAACTTGGCCGTCGTCAATGGCAGACTGACCAAATCTGGCCGTCAACGACCAAATCTTTAGCTGTTGATTTGGTTGTTTCCAGCCAGATTCATGATGGATCTAGCTGAAAAATGCCAGATCGGTGCACTATCGGCCATATCCAGTCGGTCGTGTGCCATTCTGGCTACTTCTGGCCACCGTCTGGAAGTGGTGGCCAACTGCCGCCATTTAATGGGTAGGTGTGGGTTTTTTTGTTAATTTTAAAACTTTTATTGTAGCAGGTGTTTAACTAAATTAACAAATGTAGACGATTAAAAATAATCTAATATTTTTCAGAAAATGTTTTCCAAAAATTTATCAAACACATTGTTAAATTCAAATCCTATTCTCGTAATAACAACCCAGCTCAACTTTTTCAAAAATACTATTTTAAATACTCTACCAAACATAGCCTTAGATTTGTGTATAATTTGAAAAACAAAGCCCTGCCAATGATGCTTTCATGGATTTGCAATGCAATCACAACAAAAGCATATAATATATAAATGGTTTCTAACAACTAATTTTATTGTTAAAATCATTCGTAACTGGTAAAATATGTTATTTTCCATCTATTAGACAATACAACTCACAAATTTTTGATAGTTCTAATATCACATTTAAAATACCATGACAACCAATTCAATCTTCTTATTCATCATTCTACTTGATTGAAAAGAACATTTCATATGTTCCCTGACAGTTACTTTCTATTCCAGTCAGTCCCTTCTTCAACTTGAATTGGGTCCTCAGTCAAGAGGATAAACACATTGGTGCTACCTTTCAGTTGTAAATAAGCAGATTCATATCTAGTTATATTATTTCTTGCCTGACTATAACAAAACTAACCCAGATTTGAAATGTTACCCATGAAATTTATCTGCATATAATCTTCAAGAGTAATACTAGCCTTACAAAGAGGCATATAAAGAGTCAAATTCAACACTTGAAATTCATGATTGTCTCTTTCTCTCTCTCTTTTTCCCTTCTTTCAAAGGCTGGATTTGACTCTTTATATGGCTTTTTGTATGCCTCTTTGTAAGGCTAGTATTACTCAATCTTCAAGCTCATTTTCAAAGATTTATACTTCCAAAGAAATATGGTCAGTATGAATGTGGAAAAACAGGATGGATAAATAATAAAGACAAAGGAAGAACAAAAGTAGTAGGATGTTTCAGCGGTTGCAATCAAACTTTAAGTTACGCAAAAATAATATAGTATTGATGAAGCCAAATGGAAACTAGGGATCTTCTCCATAAATTCCCTGAAGTAAATTCGCTGAGGTCTCAAAGAAATTCAATTAAAGACCTTTAACTACCAAAGCATCAAAGTTAACAATGAGCAAAATGTTATGGTTGATTCCAGTGCAACTTGATAGTAGACAAAAAAATTTGCTTCTGTAAAATGCTGGTTATAATAACAATCAATCTTTTAGATGTCCCCAAACAAATTCAAACAAAGCCCACATCAAAATATCAGTTATGACTAGCAGTACGTTTTCATTAGTGTGCAAGGGGATGATGACTATGATGTTGATGAGCACTCAACAAGGGAAAATCTACAACTATAATCTAGACTCTTCAATGGTATTGTATAAGTACAGATGTTTATTAAGAGCATCAACTCACCTGTCGAGCAAGCGTAGGTATGTCTAAAAGAATGGTTTTTACAGCTTGCGTATCCAATAGCATCTGCAACAGGATTACAA